AACGAGAGTCTAATATTTTATTTTCTATTATTATTTCATCGAATAATCAAATTCGAATTTTTAAATGAATATTTGGTAAGGGAAACCAAAAGATAACTCGTTGAGTACAAGGAAATTTGATTCAGATAGACTACTGAATGGTCAGTTTAATAATGAAAAGCTTAAGAGAGAAAAAATTAATAATTTCAGAATGGTAAGTGATAAGATCTTTCAGAAGCTCTGACTAAGTACGATGGAAGGATAGAATGTGAAGTGACTTAAATTATACGGTTTTTTTCTTATTAACAAATGCAAAAGGAAGCACATTGTTAAAAGTTACAGTACGTCACTATTTTAATGCAAATTGTGAAAGTTTTGTTTAGAAAAAGATAAATTTTTCAGAGTAATTTGATATACTCTATACGAAAACTAGCATTATCTGACAGGTGAGAAATTTCAGCAGATATTTATTATTAAATAAAGAAGAAAAGCTATTCTACACGATGTAATTATATTAACTATTTTAATGATGATTCGAAATGTTGGAATGGATTAATTTTAGAAAATTACTAATTATCACAAAGTATTTCATAGAATTTGTTGTTTAAATTTTTTAATATTTTTAACATAATTATAACAGCTCTAAAGTTTTATATGAAAAAATGCATCTAGTATTTGAAAATAATATTAATAAATTGTAACTAGAAGTACCAGTTCATAGCAAAGTTAATTACAGAAAACAAATTCAAGAAATAAAATTTTAGTAATGATTTAGAAACGCGGACATTTCCGAAAACTTACAGGTTCTAATATATTCGTGTTATTTCTTGAAGGAGCAGTAACAAATTTATCTAAGTAAACTAATTCTAATTAAAGGTCTTCATCTATAAGTTTTGTATACAATATTTAGAGTCAGATAGGATTATTTCTATCCAAAGAAGTCGGGAAAAGCAGTGGTAGTTGAGATCGGATAATACAGTAAAAGAGACCACAGAGGACGCTGCTGTTTTAATTCTTGACTATCTGAAACGAAACTCAAACCATATTTCGATAATACGGAAAAGTGGGTGATTATAAACAGACGGTTATTAACTTTTGAATATTGATTAACAAATTTTCACGTTCAAGATTTCAAACGTTACAAGTTTGCCATGTCTGACAATATGAATCTTTGAAGGAACATATGCGCATGCTGTTGCCGTATCATTTCAAAAATAGTCAACGCAACGAAGGCTCACGAACTTATCGGTAAATTATTTGACGAGAACACAGTCAACAGGCAGATTTGCTACTATTGGTTGAAGAAATTCTAGGTTGAAGATTTCTCGCTTTAAGATGAACCCCATCCAGGCGGCCATTCCGCTGCTGATGATGACGTTCTTTTGCAACTGATAGATGATAATTCACAGTTGACCACCAGAGAATTAGCCCAACTATGTCAACTACTACAAAAATTAACAAAGTCCGATACCACTACGACAATCTGTCAGCACATACAGCAGAGATGACCTAAGAGAAGCTGGCCAATCTAACTTGTAAACTGGGATGTTATGCCTCATCCACTTTACAGCCCAGACTTGCCCTTGACGTCAACTGACTACCATCTGTTTCACATCCTGCACGCGTAGATCAGTGCAGGATGCGAAACCATATTACCAATATACAATTCAATGACAATATCCATGTGAGAACGACTCTTGAGACTTTCTTCAAAGAAAATCCCCAGTCATTCTATGCTCAGGGGATTGAAAGTATGCAGCAAAGGTGAAGAGATGTGATTGATATTGATGGTAATTACCTAAAAGACCGAACTGTAATTATTGATGAGTTAATTGTCAATAATTTTTTTCAAAATGTCTAAATTTCACTTTACAGCTTGATATAGTCGCCCGTTTTTCTACTGTATACTATATATTTAATAGTATGTACTGTACAGGATGTTCCATTTTAATTAGTCATCTAAAATATCCCGATAAATATGCATCCTACGGAAAAAAAATGTTCTAGACCGAAAACATTCTGCATCAAGATAACACTATCGGCTTCCTCATAGGTGGTATTACTATCGCTAAAACGATCATCGTATTTTGAAATTAGAATCTTCATTTTTTATTACATATTTATATTCTGCGGAAAAATAAGATAACTTTTTATTTGGAACATTTTGATGCACCGAGCAGAAGTTGTGAGCGTTGGTATTTTTCAGTTCAACAGTTATGCGCTCACACGCGTACCTGACAGATTTGTGGCTGTCTCTGCATTAGTGTACTAATATTAATAGCAATAATAATATCTTTAATGTACAAAATAACAATTATATGATATTACTATCAGTACATAGAGGATAAAATAGTATAATACAATAATGGTTCTTGAAATTCATAGTGACAAAACATCTCGTACACAATTTTATTTTATAACGTAAATCACTAGACCGGCATTTATTTACATTTATGTTATTTCTCACATTTAAAACTTATAACACAAGAGATTAAAAAACGTGACACCATTTCTTGTTTAGCGAAACAAAATCTCTATAGATTTAACTCTTGTCATTAAATAAATTGTTTACTTCTTTATATCAATTTTTAGTTAGTGTTATATTGTTATATTTGAAGTGTAACAAACACGAGTGTGAAGGAAATTGTCTAGAACAATAACAATTAAAAAAAGCTGTCACTATACTACCGTATCTTCATATCAGACTTGTCTTTTTATGTCCATCCGCAGTAACGTCTGAAGCTTATTCGCTTTTGTTCACAGCGTATGTAATCAGGAGCGAAAATATCTGAAAATAAATATAAAAAATAAAAATGTTATTTAAAATTATACAAGATTTAAATCTGTAGATTTTTATTTAACGTCAAATATACAAGAGTTAAATCTGTAGATTTAAGTCTTATATGACTTTAAATAAAATTTTTATTTTTTCATATTTATTTTTACATATTTTCGCTCCTGATTACATACGCTGTCAACACAAGCGAATAAGCTTCAGACGTTACTGCGGATGGACAAAAAAAGACAAGTCTGATATGAAGGTACGGTAGCATAGTGGCAGCTTTTTTAAATTGTTATTGTTCTAGACAATTTCTTTCATGCTCGTGTTTGTTAAACTTCAAATATAACAATATAACTCTAACTGAAAATTGATATGAGGAAAAAAACATTTTATTTAATGACAAGAGACTTTGTTTCGCTAAACAGGAAATAGTGTCACGTTTTTTAAATATCTTTTTTAAGCTTTAAATGTGAGAAATAACAATAGTAATAATAATGTTAATGATACGGTAAAATAAAATAATTTTGTTTCACATTAAAAAAAATAAAAATAAAAAAATACGAATGATTGAGCTTACATCGCGCAGTTTCTACGCCTAGTTATCTTATCCACTCGATTATATCAATTACGGGAAATGAATCTTCCAAAGACTTATAAGCTTAACACTCAATTTTCAGAGACCCATTTTTCGGAAACGCTTGAGAAGTGGGTCCTATCATTTGTATAAAGCTTAGTTCACACTGAGCGAATCGCGAATGCGAAAAGCGATTTTTATTCGCTTAGCGAAATTGACCCTACAACCAAAAGCGAAAAGCGGATTGCGAATTTTAAGCAGCCAATCATTTGCAAGCGAGTGAAACGTCATCTCGAAAAACAAAATGGCTGCTTCCGATATCTTGTTGTTAACCACGTTTGTTTATTTATTGAGAGAAAAAGATACTAAAAAAAGAAAGCGATGTTGGGTGAAAGATATTTAAAAAAACCGAGAATTACATGGTTACCATGCTAATTTGGTGCGAGACATGAGACTGAATGACAAAGAGAATTTTTTTAGGTAGGACTGTTTATACTAATTTTTATTCTCTTTAGTAAGAAAATATATGACTAACAAAAAATTTATTATAACACGTTTTAGGTTTTTTAGAATGACTAAAGAATTATTCGACGAATTACTCTGTAGAGTAGGCCATTCATACATACAAAAGACACGAATTTTCGTAAGGCCATATCTCCGAGAGAACGTTTAGAAGTCACATTAAAGGTATGGAATTTTGAGTTTATTAAACGATGTTTACTATTAATCGATTGAAATAAAACAAATTTGTGATTTTATATCGATAAGCAAGCAAGCATACTTGTCTCTGATATAATTCTAGTTTGTTTAAAATTTATTTTTTCCACCAACATAAGTATAAAATATTTTTATCCATTGATTCAGAGAATAATTTTTACGATTAGATATTAGAAATTAAATAAGGAAATCCGTAAAAAAATCGTTCAAAAGTGGATTTAAATATAAAATTGATATTAGTTTTACTGTATTTTAAATTAAATAAGACCTTTAATTCCGAGATCTCGTTTTATATCCATATTGAAAATATATATAAAATATATATATATATNGAGATGATTCTTCGTCAATCGTTCTACTTGCATATCGAAAACGACGTCATCTTTGTCAAAATATCTGTTGCTATTTTGGTTTTAACTTACGCACTCACTTTCAGTATTATAAAAAGAGTCAAATTAACCCCAAATATTAAACTGACGAAGCCAGAATATTTCTGTTGGAAAAAAGTCTACGTGTTGATTACTTACACTAGAATTATCGTTTCTGTTCTTGTTGTAAGTTCAACTATTTGTAACCAAGCGATAAACGTTTTTTATATTTATCCTGCTATAGAAAAAGGAAAAACTTTCGAGCACGCAGCACTTTTTTGCAGCGTTGAAATTGGCATTTACATTAATTTAATTACGGGTGGATTATTGTATCTGATTTCTTTTATTTTCTTGTTTATATTCATATTACTGACGATTTTCCAGAAGCTATCGGAAAACCTTCAACTACTAGAAATGAATCATCCAAATTTGGAAACGGAATTAGAAATAATTATGACACAACACAATGAACTTTGGAACTGTTTTAAACAATTGAATGGCCCATTTAATTATGTACTGACAATATTGTATGGTGCTCTAATAATGGAAACCAGTCTGCTTTATTATATTTTGATTTATTCGAAAACGGAATTTGCATTGAGTGTTTTAACTGGAATATTTTGTGCTGCAGCATTAGTTCTTTGTGTTTTAGTAGGATTTTTATTATCCACTTTCACATCTATTGTAATTTTCGTAATGTATTAGATGCACTATTCCGTTTTATATTCATTTGTAAAAAGATTTTTTCTCTATTAGATGCAAACATCGTTTTAAGACATTCGAAGATTCGCTCAATGCGAACTGAAATTGGAACAGAAATTAAAAGTAAAGTTTCTGTTATAAAATAGAATTAGCGATACTTTTTAACTTTCAGAAAATAATTGTAAAAAATATTGTACAGATTGTGAATTTTATGAAAAGATTTGGAAAAGCATTTTTATGTATATCTATCAACGGTTTCTTCGATGTTACCAAAAAGTTTCCTATCAAGGTATGCGAGTCAATTAAGTTTTTTAATATATTAATTCATTATCTGTATATAAATTTGAATTTGCAGATGTCTAGCGCTTTGAATTCTGTGTATTCGAGTCTGTTAAATTTGAGGACCGTTTCCACGAAGAAAATCTGCTCTTATTGAAATCTGAATCCAAGAATCTATCTTTTTGAATATAATTCTTTCTCATAGCATTTTAATTAATAACTTAATTAATTCATGTATATGTGATAAACTAGACAAACTATTGTCGTTTTTTGTCACATTATTGTGATATTCTGATAGCTTATAAGCCTTGCATATTTAAAATTAGAATAACAGTTGAAAGTTGAAATTTATTACACTGTTAAGTACTTCATGCACGCAAAAAGGGAGTTTTAATGAATCCAGTGGAATAACTAAAAAAAAAAATATGCATTCTATAAAAAAGTCATTAAATAATAAATGCTAGACTTCAAGGAGGCTACAAAATAGGGCTATCAGTTTCATCACCGATGGCACTAGAATCCGTGTAAATGGGTTTATTTTCTTAAATGGGAGCCGCCAATTTTTATTGCATATTCTGAGGCTGCGTACACACGAGGCGTTTTTAAACGCGCGTCGAACGCCGAGCTAACGCGCGTTAGCTCGGTGTTCGACGAGCGTTTAGCGGAGCGTGCGCACTGGCTCGGTTTGGAAATAGATGTGGAAGTGATTGCTTGTGTGTGGCTCCTCTATCGTCGCTATAAAAGACGACGGCAGAGGCAAAGAGAATTTTCGGTGCACCCAATATTACGAGATAGACTGACGCATGAAATGTTTGCGACGTTGTATCCAAAACTAAGACAAAATAAATTGAAGTTTTTTAATTGTTTTAGAATGTCTATAAAATCATTTGACGACTTACTCCGTATTATAAAAGTAGATATTACCCAAAAGCGCGCGATCGAATATACAGCAAAATGGCGGCGTAAATCTAGAAGCGCCCGTAAAGCGCCGGGAAAACGCGCGATCGCATGTACGATAACATGGCAGCACATATATCTCAAAGCGCTCGGCTAACGCCCGCAAAACGCGCGTTTTAACAAAAATCTATAAACGCGCGTTTACCGCGCGCTTGGCCAAAAGCGCGTGTTTGAGTGTGTACGCCTATACAGAACTCTTGGTTCTTTAAAAGCGCGCGTTAAACGCGTTGAAAAACGCCTAATGTGTACAGGCTCTAAACGTAGGCGTTAAAAACGCCTACGTGTGTACGTTTAACGCGCGTTTTAAAGAACCAAGAGTTCTATATAAGCGTACACACTCAAACGCGCGCTTTTGGCCAAGCGCGCGTTTATAGATTATTGTTAAAACGCGTGTTTTGGGGGCGCTTTATGGGCGCTTTGAGATATATGTGCTGAAATGGAGAACGATCATTTCGATATTGATCTATTTATTGATGAAATCTAAACGAGACCAACCATCGTCAAAGGATTTTATAGATATTTTAAAAGAATTAAAAAACTTGGGTTTATTTTGTCTTAGTTTTGGATACAACGTCGCAAACATTCCATGTGTCAGTAATATTGTAAGTATCCTATCTTGTAATATTGGGTGCACCCAAAATTCTCTTTGCCTCTGCCATCGTCTTTTATAGCGACGATGGAGGAGGCACACACAATCAATTACTTTCACGTTTATTTCCGAACTGAGCCAGTGCGTATGCTCCACAAACGCTCGTCGAACGTCGAGGTAACGCGCGTTTAAAAACGCCTAGTGTGTACACAGCCTGATTCTACATAAAAAATTAACCGAACTTTTATCTAAAACATTTTTCGAAAGATACACTAATCAGAAGTCATGGGTATTTGAAGTTTTTAGTGGCTGCCACATTTTGCATGCACAAATCTGTGGTTGTCTGTGAATAACCACAGATTTGTGCATGCAAGATGTGCATGAATGAAAGAAGAAAAATAAGGAGAAAAAGAGAAGAAAAATGCTTAAAAGTCGTTAGGAAGCAATTATTACTTGGTGGAATTATTCTTTTAGTTCGGTACTTCGCTATCGATAGTTTTACCCGGCGTTGCTCGGGCAAAAGTAACGATAGCGAAGATTAAGATTATTACGTTATAGTCAAACTTACCCGTTTTTACAAAATGCAAAAATTGGGTCCCCCGTTTCCAGTCTAATTACAGAATTTTTACATGGGTCTAGAAATATGTTCGATTTCCCGGAAAAAAAACGAAAAAAACTGCATCTGCGTCTTACACGTCGCTTTCTCTTAACAATTCCATTGTTTCGTAACACTTAACACACCACTGTTCACACTTTCATTGTTACTTATCACTTCCATCGTTGATGGAAGTATTAAGCCTTAATTTTGTCCCTAGCCCTTGTGGGGAGGTATTTCGAAAAATTCCTTCTTAGTGTGCGTTCTCGTGACGTACCCTAAAGCTTAGTTCACACTGGGCGAATAGCGAAAGCGAATGCGAAAAGCGATTTTTATTCGCTTAGCGAAATTGACCCTACAACCAAAAGTGAAAAGCGGATTGCGAATTTTAAGCAGCCAATCATTTGCAAGCAAGTGAAACGTCATCTCGAAAAACAAAATGGCTGCTTCCGATATCTTGTTGTTAACCACGTTTGTTTATTTATTGAGAGAAAAAGATATTAAAAAAAGAAAGCGATGTTGGGTGAAAGATATTTTAAAAGACCGAGAATTACATGGTTACCATGCTAATTTGGTGCGAGAGATGAGATTGAATGACAAAGAGAATTTTTTTAGGTAGGACTGTTTATACTAATTTTTATTCTCTTTAGTAAGAAAATATATGACTAACAAAAAATTTATTATAACACGTTTTAGGTTTTTTAGAATGATCAAAGAATTATTCGACGAATTGCTCTGTAGAGTAGGGCCATTGTTACGTAAAAAACACACGAATTTTCGTAAGGCCATATCTTCGAGAGAACGTTTAGAAGTCACATTAAGGTATGGAATTTTGAGTTTATTAAACGATATTTACTATTAATCGATTGAAATAAAAGAAATTTGTGATTTTATATCGATAAGCAAGCAAGCATACGTGTCTCTAATATAGTTCTAGTTTGTTTAAAATTTATTTTTTGCCACCAACATAAGTTNTGAATGTTCTTTTGTAATGTTATACATAACTTCCTCTATCTTAAAACGAGCCTCTGCTTACTTTTGTGGAGAAAGGTTTCTTAATCTGTCAGCTAAACTGGCACAATAATGATACAGCTCGTCTTCTTTTTGTTGTTTGTTTACCATCGTCTCTGTTAGCTGAATTAAGGTAGGTACATCATCATCCTTATTTTTTTTCGGCGCTTTGGTAGCAAAGATTGTTCCGTAGATGATGATGACGTGCAAGGTACATCTTTTGAAATATCCCTAAAAATTATAAATATATAAATGAAACTGAAATATATATATATAGGCTATACATAGTAAATGAAAAAATTAAACTAAAAATAATAAAATTAAAACATGAATGTAGACTTAAGAATACATTGTTTGATAATTTTAGGTATTTAGCTAGTGGATATTATCAAATTTCCCAATCCTTTGCATTTCGAATGGGTAGGTCATCTGTTTGCATTATCATTAAAGAAGCTTGCGAAGCTATTTGGCATGTGTTGGCAAAAGAATATGTGAAGTTCCCAAGCAGAGAGGATTTGCCAATCTTGCTATGGAATTTGAAGAAAGATGGAATTTTCCTTATTGTGTTGGTGCTAATGGGAAACATGTACAAATGGTTTGCCCTCCAAATACAGGCTCTTTATATTATAATTATAAAGGCAACTTTAATAAAGTTCTCCTAGCTGTAAGTGATGCCAAATATAGATTTATATATGTTGATATAGGAGGATTTGGTGGAAGAAGTGATGGAAGTANGAAACTTGCAAAGCCATTTGGCATGTGTTGGCAAAAGAATATGTGCAGTTTCCAAGCAGAGAGGAATTTGCCAATCTTGCTATGGAATTTGAAGAACGATGGAATTTTCCTCATTGTGTTGGTGCCATATATGGGAAACATGTACAAATGGTTTGCCCTCCAAATACAGGTTCTTTGTATTATGATTATAAAGGCCACTTTAGTAAAGTTCTCCTAGCTGTAAGTGATGCCAAATACAGATTTATATATGTTGATATAGGAGGATTTGGTGGAAGAAGTGATGGAGGTATATTTTCCCATTCAAGTCTTGGCAGATCACTGGAAACAAGAAAATTGGATTGGCCACAATCATCACCAATAAGTGGAATGCCTAGTAACCTACCATATTTTATGGTTGGTGACGAGGCATTTCCATTAAAAACTTATTTACTTCGACCATATCCTGGCAGACAATTAACAACGAAAAAAAGAATATTTAACTACAGACTTAGCCGAGCTAGACGTGTCATAGAAAATACATTTGGTATTCTTTCTGCACGTTGGAGGATTCTATGCAGATGCATTCAAGCTTCTCCAGAAACTGTAGATAGTATCATAAAAGCTTGTGTGTGTCTGCATAATTTTGTGATGACAAAAGAAAGCAAAGTTAATTCAGACATGAAATGTTATTGTCCCTCCCATTTTATTGATAAATAGGCTGCTGATGGAACTATTATAGAAGGACAGTGGAGAAAGGAGATAGGAAGTGGATCATCATCTCTTCCTCAAAGACCATGTCAACAGCATAATTATTCGCAATGTGCAAGAGATAATCGAGAGCAATTTGCTATTTATTTTCAAGAAAATAATATTTTACCATGGCAATTAAATTATGTAAATCGTATCGAATAACAAATGTATAATAAAATGTAAAAATCAAAAATAAAATAACTTTTAAATGATAGAATGTTTTATTTGCAAAATTTTATTACGTACAACATGATTATGTACACAACAAATTATGTATAGCATTACAAAAGAACATTTATGAATGTTCTTTTGTAATGTTATACATAACTTCCTCTATCTTAAAACGAGCCTCTGCTTACTTTTGTGGAGAAAGGTTTCTTAATCTGTCAGCTAAACTGGCACAATAATGATACAGCTCGTCTTCTTTTTGTTGTTTGTTTACCATCGTCTCTGTTAGCTGAATTAAGGTAGGTACATCATCATCCTTATTTTTTTTCGGCGCTTTGGTAGCAAAGATTGTTCCGTAGATGATGATGACGTGCAAGGTACATCTTTTGAAATATCCCTAAAAATTATAAATATATAAATGAAACTGAAACATATATATAGGCTATACATAGTAAATGAAAAAATNAGGTTTACGGCTTTGTGAAACTTCTTTTTTGAGTTTATGCAGTTGAAATAAATAAATAATAATAAAATTAAAACAGTTGTCGGTTTTGTTTACACGTTTATTGGGCCGCATTGGAACTTGCCTTGGGCCGCGGGTTGGACACCCCTGCTCTAGAATTTATTTTCCTTAAATTTACGATTTATGTATTTGTTGTCGTAAAAATTTGTCTTTCCACTTTTTCCCCGAGACTACAAATATTCGAGTACAAAGTAACTGGTTTCGACTTATTTCTACTTAGATAATTAAGCGATTAGGGAATTGGGGACGTAAACAAAACCCTGATGAAAGAGCCGAAATTTTACTTAAACGAAAGCTTAACCGAACCATCTCTAGCCGAGTGCAGTGGAAACTGATTTNTTAAAACGAGCCTCTGCTCGCTTTTGTGGACTCAGATTTCTTAATCTGTCAGCTAAACTGACACAATAATGGTATAGTTCATCTTCTTTTTGTTGACGGTTTACCATTGTCTCTGTCAGTTGGATTAAATTGTTCACATCATCTTGTTCCTTACTTTTTTTCGACTCTTTGGTAATGCTGAGAATTCTGTAGATGATGATGATGATGTGCATGGTACATCTTTTGAAATATCCCTAAAAATTATAAATATATAAATGAAACTGAAATATACACTGCTGGCCATTAAAATTGCAACACCAGGAAGGGATGATCGTACGAACGTCAAAATCATATGAAAGGAAGAAGAGATTGGGATATGCAAATGATTAGTATTTCAGCACGTTTAGATGATGCAGGAGGGACAAACAACATCTGAAGCACTGCGTAAAAGAAAACTTGTGAGGTGGATTTCTCATTCATAAATTGCTTTGTAAGGTCGGGGTTTCATCAGAATATCGTGTTATGCCTCGAATAAGAAGAAATGCTTATCAGCAAGTGTCGGAATTCAATAGAGGCAGGATTGTTGTCTATCGAGAGTGTGGATTATTGTTCCGTGATATTGCCACTCGCACTCGTCGGAATCCGACTACTGTCATGCAAATATGGAATCAATGGGTTGCTGAGGGCCTTACTGAACGACATGCAGGATCTCAACGCCCTCCCATGACTAACGGCCGAGAGGACAGACATATTGTGAGGTTGACTGTGCAAACCGTACAACCACATCACGGACCATTAGTCAGGAAATGAGCTTGTTTGCAGCATTTCCAGTATCCGCTTGTATGGTGCAACGACATTTGCAGCAGCATGAACTGTCAGCACGGTGACCATTACTTCGGCTTCCCTTGACAATGCAGCATAGAGAGAGACAGCGACTCTGGTGCACCCAATGACAAAGCTGGATACAGGAGTGGCACAATGTCGTCTTTTCAGATGAGTCTTGATTCTGCGTGCAGCATTCTGATGGCTGTATACGTGTCTGGAGGCTCCAAGGAGACCGCTCGTCACCTGCTTGCATTCGATATCGGCATAGGAGTCCTGCATCTGGTGTGATGATATAGGCAGCCATTCGATACACAACATGCACATCTCCAGTTTGGATTGACGGTAATTTGAACGCAGATCGGTACATTTCTGACATCTTACGTCCAGTGGTTGTGCCCTATCTTCAAGGCCTGCGAAGTGCCATCTTCCAGCAAAATAATGCAAGACCTCATGTTGCACGTCATGTTCTGACCTTCCTCGATACAGAGGGTATTCAATTGTTGCCCTGGCCTGCATGGTCTCCAGATCTCACACTAATTGAAAACATTTGGTCATGGGTTGCTGAGAGATTGGCCCACCACCCCTCTCCAGCTAATATGGTTGATAAAGTGTGGCATAGACTTGAAGCAGCATGGAATGAGTTGCCCATTTCTGTCATCCGAGCCCAGTTTGACTCCATGCCTAACCAGATAAGGGCCGTTTTAGCTGCCAGGGGTGGCAACTGTGTCTACTAATTTCGACCCCTGTAAACTCCCAAAGTGCTTGCAAATTTAATCATTTTGTCTTCATGCCATACGGTTTATGTACAATAAATATCTTTTTTTTTATTTGCTTTCCTTCTTGGTGTTGCAATTTTAATGGCCAGCAGTGTATATATATAGGCTATACATAGTAGATGAAAAAATTAAACTACAAATAAGTCTACATTTATATTTTAATTTTATTAAGAATACAGGTATAAACTAAAGGAAAAATATTTGATGTATGTAGAGCACTTAACATTATTATTATAACTTGAGATTAGGAATGATTAATTTACTAACAACATATAAACCATATATTAACTTTTAAATAGAACACAACAATATATTACATTGAAAGACTTTGAAAATTTGGACTTCCTGGATAAGACACCTGGACAGGACACATCTCTTCCAAATCTTCACTTTGTAGGCCATCATTTAATGAAAGATTGCTACAAGTTCTAATAAAATAAAGAAAAAATATATAAGTGAAGTTTTATCTAGATTATTTTTCAACTTTAAAAAAATTTGTTTTAAACTATGACTTTTTATTGTCTTGTATCATTATTCATTATAATATTTAATAATATATTTCTGTTACATACTGTGAAAATTGTTCATCCTGTCCATTGACTATATTCATTAGAAGGTGCATTTGAGGAAACCATTTCCACTTACAATTGTGGAGGTCGTCCACACCAGCACCACTTCTAGTTTTTTCATCTATAAATTTTTTTCCTTTCCTGTAGGTATCTACAAGATTCTTCCATTTTTTCTTTACTTCTTCAACTTCAAAATTATAACAGAAAAACAAAATTCCATGTTAAAATATTTATAAATAATAATCAATTACAATTAACAGCATTGATTCTTAATACTTAATAAAATACAATGAAACTCTTACAAGACATTCATTTAATATACTGTACAATGGTATTTTGCCATTCTGTACTTTGTATGGGTATTTTTTTAATGATTTATGTATGCTAGGTTTGTAAACTTGTTGTTAAATTTGTCTTAAATACTACTTAAAACGTTTTTATAAATGTATTCTTGGGGACTGCAGCTGATTAATTTAATTTACATTTAACTATTACAAAAAACCACTCCTCAATGTTTCACAATCATATTTGTTATTAGTAACTATCACGTGTTAAATATTTTTAGAATGTTTTGGTATTTAAATTTATCTATATCAAAATATTGCTTAAACTCTTTGGTTAATATTGAAGTTATTGATATTTTTCTCATATCATTAAATATGATTTGAGTCATTATTTAACTTAGCAAATTTTATATGTTTAAAACCCAAATAATCTTATGTAAATAAATGATTTAGGTTATTAATAAGAAATAATATACAAATGCACGTGTTTCAAATTTGATTGTTCATTTTATACCGAATAGTTTATGGTAGGCTTAACTACAAGTACAAACAAACTTTACTCACCTGTCAAATTAAGACGTTCCGCAATCAACTTCCACCGATTTTCCTTCAAATCGACGTCTTTGTATCTCCGATCCATTTTTATGTATAAAAATGGAGCATCTTCCATTTCTTCTAAAAGTTTTCTATATTTACTTTACACCGAGAAGAAGCTTGTGTCACCATGTTGAAAACAACGAGAACAAGTGACAACTAGAGGGAATCTGATTGGTGGCGAAACTTTTTAGCTAGCGAAAAAGCTCGACAGTTCCGAACTTCGAAGCGATTCGCGAAATAGTAAAATTCGCCGGAAACGATGTCGTGTCTGACGTGTTATTCGCTCTGTTTTTCGCTTTCGCTACCGAATCGCGCTCAGTGTGAACTAAGCTTAAGGATCTGTTTGTGTTTATGGCTAAGTGCTCACCAAGTTCCGTTCGAATCGGAGAAGACAATGTCTGGCCGTCTCTATGTAAAATTCATTGCACAGTCGCAATAGAAAAGAACCGAGCTTATATAACGTATGCGTAAGCCTTACATAACTCACAGAGTAAGTTTTCCAGCGTTACTTTATACAGTATTTAGAAATATAATAAATATCCTCAAAAATTATTTTATTGTAGTAGTAATACAGCGTAAATTTTAGTTTCATATAGTAATAATATTAGAACTTTTATTATATTTTTAAGCAACTAAAAGGTCATTAACATTTTTAACACGTTGTCTAATGTTTAAGGGGACTTGCCATCGGACAAACTGATACTCTGGCCAGTCGTCTTAAATTTATCCAGTTAAAAAAAATCTGTCTGGAAAATTTAGTTTGTTATAATGAAATTTTGTTAACATTAATTCGAAAAAAAGATATATATACAGTATATATATTCGTTATTCTCGATTTTCCATAAACAAGAACGTGTTTGTAAAACTGAGTGTTGTACCTATTATAATAATCATTGGAAATTCCGTAGAAACTTATTTTGAAGATCTAAATTATAATTTAAATAATAAATGTTATATATTACAAATAAAGTTTAGAATTCTACTCTTAGAATTCAAAATCTACTTATTTTCTAAAATGAAACTCTCTAATGTATTTATTTCATTTAAATTATTTTCGTCCTTCATCTTTAATTCATTTTCTT